CCAGGAAGTGTATTATATGACCTGGTGCCATAAATCAACAAAACTATATGAGACATGCTAGACGTTTTTCCTTTCCCCTATGTAAAACAGATCGTTTCAAAATTTATTTAATATAGTATCTAGTGGTAGTTGTTTTAAACAAGACCTAAAGATGTTGTTTTTGTATATAATATATATATATATATTTAAAAAACTCATTAATATTCAATAGACGTTTTGACCAATCCAATGAACCTTTTTAAACACGTGAGTAGGCTTTTATACTCGATAAAGCACTATCAGGACACTGTTTTATATAAAGACACATGTGGCTTTACATAAAGTTCATGTTCAATCCGATTGGTCGCAACGTCTATTGAATATACTAATGTCGTATTTTAAGCTATTCAAAACACTCGTAGGTATGCGCTATAAAACGCTCGGCTGCGCCTCGCGTTTTATACCGCATAAAACACTCCTACTCGTGTTTTAAATAGTACATATATATATATTTATATATATATATATATATATATATATATATATATATATATTGTAAATTTGTATTTAACTTATAATTTAGCGTAATTTTTAAATTCCTGTCAATTCAGCCAATTAGCTGCAAGAAGCTTTATTAAACTAAACTATCTAACAATCTCATCTAGTATAGAGTACTAACAGACACGCGAGAACAAATAGTCAAATTCATCAAACGAAGTTGAAATCTCATTCATCGTCGCCACGTCATTGGAAGAACGTCACAACCATAAACGTATAAACTATATAAATTCATTCTGCATATGCGTTGCATGAAAGTGCGTATATATAATCGCATGACAGTTGCTCGCATGATTCATTTTCTAGTCTTAACATAATTATATAACAAATTATGGCAGTCAAGTTGGTTTCATGCTTACTTATGCCAAAGCGCTGTGTCACATATAAACATCATAAGCCATGATCAGTATTTTGTAAAGTTGTACTCGTGCATGCATATAATTCATCACATGTATATAATTCAACAAATTTAAAAAAAAACGTTTTGTTTTATTTTGTTTATATATAGGACCTCAAAAACCCCCAAGAATTGAGAATCCAAACCTTTACATGGAAACAACATGCAAGTGAGTCCGAATAGAGTGAGAAAATCAAGCCAAGGCATCGTGAACGTTAAACCTGCAAAAGAACATGAAAAGTATTAAAAAAAAACTTGAAAAGTATTTAAAAAAAATCAATACCAGTATAAATACATGACACAATTTATTGGACTTAATCCCCAAAAATTTTTTGGGAAAAAGTTTTGTTTATATACCTAGATGCGCAAATATATGGACATATGTATATTTAAGGAGATCGACCGATTTGAAGACCTCTAACTAAAAACGTGCAACACGATGTCACGATTCAATCCTATGCCTCCGCGGATCGTAAAATGTATAGGTTTCACTGGTAAAAGCAAAATCACCCGATCTCATAATTAACTAGCAATCAATAAATTAGTTTAGAATGAAAACAATCCACATCACGGTCATGGGTGATATAAACAACTACTCTTAATTATTTTATGCTTATATATTTCTTCTGTTTATAGCAGTGCACTGTACTAGGCTCGGTGCCTGGCTGACTGTTAATTGGAGTGTTTAAGCAGTTCATGAATATTATATGCATGATGAACAATAAAGTTTGCATGTTTATGCAGTGCTAACTGATTGATAACCACTTACATGAATATAACCTGGCATTTTATGTTCCTTATACGAGTTACGTTCATGAGGCTTAATTTAACCTTAACAGAAACTCGCTAAAGTTTACAACAATGTGCTATAAAACTAAATACGTATAGCAAATGACAGAACTACAGAAAACAAGAAATAGGTAATAAAATACAAATTACTTTACATATACCATGCACTTTTAAATAGGTACGATAAAGCTTTGGTAATGCACTCAAGAGCCCAAGAAGGCAAATTTATAAGTTGGCACCGAGGACTCTTCTTTCGATGAGCAATTTATTTAAACGAAGCTCTATTCTCTCCATGCAACCTGGGTAAATTTTTTCCGTTTCGCTGAAAGTTAAACTTTTACGTACCAAGGGATACACTTAAAAAAGCAGTGGCTAGTGGTTTACTTGAAATTCTTTCAAGACTACAACACAAATTATATATGCTCAACTCTCGTGTGGAGAAGCTTAATTGGGTATATTATTCCGAAAAACATAGTATATACTAAGTTTTGTACATCTTCGCATGGAGATTGATTTAAGTGAAAATAATTGATATAGAAAGATTATGGCCATGGCATAGCGTAGTGCACCAAGGGGCTGTTGAGACGATCCCGCTTAGAATAACCTAAAGGTAAACGCAATTATTGAAATAATTACAGCATGAACTTGGCAGTGGTGCAGTCATCCCCCCATGCAGGTGCTTCTCTCGTTCCGGATTGATGGATATTGATTAACTAAACGCATGGCTGCACGTAAATATTTCCTTATCAGATTTCTCATCTTAGTAGCTGACTATTGCAGTATACGTATAATATTTCATACTCCTATATTTAAAAAACGTGTAGACAAGAACTGCTTTAAGGCATCAGGCATGCAAAAACTAAATAGACCAGTAGTATAGTCTATTAATTTACCAATATTTATATACACCAAACTTATATACTCGTTGTGTTGAATAACCATCATATTTAGTCAGGTAATCGCAGTCAGACAACAGCATGTCAATGGTCGCCGGCGTACAAGCTTATTTCAGTTAGTATATTCAATTTAAACGGTACAATACTCCTTTAAGTCAGCAATACTAGGATTTATAATAACATACCGCTTTTACAGTTTACACTTTCTTAGAATAAAACTGATCAAGTCTGGCCCCTACGAGCTAATTTGATCCTTCGTTTCACTTCCGGGTTGGTAACCTGCGCTGCACAGATGAGCTATATACAGATATCAAACTGAAGCGAAATCGAGTGACACGGTTTTTTGGCCAATGTGCGCATGCGTATCATGCTTGGCAAGTGTCGTGTTGAAATTTAGTGAGTAAATCGATAGAAAAATCGAATTTTCGATTTGACATGGAAACATCAAACCTTGACATGGAGATAAAAGACAAATGAATCCAAACAAAATTAGAAAACCAAACCAAGTCATCATGAACACTAAACCTGCGAAGGAATAATAAAAAATGTCAGGAAATATAAATGACCGTTTTTGTACAGGACTATACAAGCAGATAGAGGAACCGTATCAGGGTTAATTATTTGGTTGAGTACTCGTATGTAGTATAGTTTAGCTTTGTTTACAAGTTGTTTTGTTTAAAACATTACTGATACATCATTACCACCATGAATGATACCTGAGATATTCAGTAGAGAAGACTATCGATCCTCACCACGGTTACAGTAAAATATCAGCCGTTTTAGTGAAGATCACAATAGCTATCAAGCTATCATATTTCTTCATTTGTCATTTATGCGACCATGCAATGCGACTTAAGTTAAGTCATGACAGCTTATACAACAGCTTCACGCCTTAATACTAATACTTCAGTTATAGCATTTTTGTTCATATCCTGTAAAATCTTTCAGACCAGAACTGTCTCAAGCCCAAGGTATGCAATAGCGAACTTTCACGGCGTAACACGCTCGAGTTAAGAAAAGCTCGCAAAACACTCGCCTTCGGCTTGTGTTTCGCGCGCTTTTCTTAACTCTCGCAACATTCCCGCGTGTTTGGACAGGCCATCCACATATAGGAATTCTACCATGTAAGAAGCCATAACTTTGGATTATTATGAGACGATCTGTACTTGTTTTCAAAAATCACATACTTCTCACTTGGTTGTCGTTCATAAACTCCGCTGCACACGAGAACTATCTTCTTTCGTCAGGGCTTTAAGTATTACCAGCTCGTATAACGTCTTTTGACACTGTTAGATTGAAGACACAGGAAATTATGAATTAACATGCATCACAAAAGACATCATCCACAACACTGTCAACAGTATGTATATTTGTAGCATGCATGCATGGTATTGTTTACTATACTCTATAGTCGACCGTGCTTTCAAACTTAGCTCATAACCTTACCTTTGCTAAATTTTCGAATAACAATCACAATGACACTGTGTCAATCGTCCAACATTTGATAGGTAAATATAGTCATGCAGACAACAGGTTATACACCTCACAGACCCGGAAGTGTTTCGGCAACGCGAAGCGATTTTCAGTTTCCGTATAAGTTTTCCAATTTCCATACGCAAAAAAAATTTTAAGCTATTATATTATCCTCGAGAGTTAATTAACCATAGTACATTTTGGCTGCTTTGGTATAACCATAGTTTCCAAAAATTGCTGTTAGAAGTAAACATATTTTTGAAAATTAAAACGAGTTTTAGTTCTTGTGCATGGTAATGAGGCTTTTAGCTTAGCACAAAAACGAAATTGTATTTATTTCCTCACTTTCAAAGCAACTCACAATATATAAACAAGCTCATTACCGATGTATACCAAGGTCATGGACATAACATCTAATTGCGAATTTGAAATATTGGGCGATACTGCTCAACTGTATAAGAATTAAAATCAATGATATACTCACAAATATCCGTTACTCTAATTGACCTTTCATCTCGTGTTTTAACACGACTCTGTCTTTGATCGTTGATGAGTCAAATCTTCTGTGTCTCTTCAGTCTTGACACTCGGTTTCATAAGTCGTATAATCATAAATTATAGGTGTGGTCGCTAGCGTTTGGACCAGGCATGAGCACGATATGAATTTTCAATGAGCCACCAGTTCGGTGAGTCCCATAATGAATTTACCTTGTTAAAGATTTCAGGCCATAAAAAATTAAATGCACTCGCTATGTTGCTTTAATTATGATACCTTTATTGTAAGTAACGTTTGTTTTTTATTTTGTGGTAACTATTGCAGCTGGAACACAAAATTGATTCCGAGAATTCCTTTGATCTGTGGTTATGGGATATTTTTGGATAACTAAGTATTAACTCTTGAAACTCATCAACAGCCGGTTGTGCAAAACTCCAAAAAAGAAATTGTTTCTATGCTTTTTGTGCAATCAATGTAATTAATCAGGTTACAACATATTTTACATGTCATGCTGTGGTATACAGTATACTTAGAATATTGTGCGAATAATTAAAGACCATTATCATCCCTTAAATCTAATCATATATATCTAAGTTATTAACATAATTATATTATGCATGCAATCCCTGGATCTAAAATAGAAAGACGATAACATACTAACGTTTTCTGCCAAATTTCTCTTTGAAATCAGATTCAAGAATTTTGAGTTTCAAGTCAGAAGCTATCGATCACATGCAGTCGCCTGACGGTGCTTTTGGAAGCTGCCCTGTGATCGTAGAAACTTTGATAGGGTAAACCCGTTATTTAAGACAACCATGCAGCAATAGAGTTTAAGGCAAGGTGCTCAACAGGGAACTTAAACTGGTCGAAAAAAAAGCCAAAAAGTTAGTAAGCTCTCGTCAATATATAAATCACAACCTATGGCGTGACACTAATAACTATACTTGTTATATAAAACTAACTATTAAAACAAATCGTGAATACACATGCATATAGTAATATAACAGAAAAACGCTATTACATTTCTCGTGTTCGTAAAATTCCGCAGTTTTTTAGACAGCAAACCATTACGTACTGCCAAATGCAGTGATATATATCAAATCAAGTGATATATATCGAATCAAATTCTGAAAACTCTCTGTAGACATGCAAATTGGCTTAAAAGATTGTCAAACCATAACAAAAAGCAGTTAAGTGGGAATTTCATCCATATACACTCAGCGACTAGGTATAGCTAGATTGGGAAACTGAAACCGCTTTAAAAGCTGCTGGCTTTGCCAATGTTGCAAAAACACAGGACATAGTGCAAAATTTCACTTTGTATGAAGATCATAAAAAAAAGAAAATCGTTTTTCTGATAAAAGTTGAATAAATATTTCCTGTAAATATTTCCCACCACACGAATACCACGGTAGAATTTCCACCGCGGATAACTACAAAATATTTGAGAAACTCTACTTTATTCTATGTTCATGCACTCAATAGGTGATTGGTAATCAATTACTTTAAGCTATAGAATAATGTTTAAAATCCACTTCTTATTATGTACATATCACTCGAAACAACTTCTCCTGTAAAATAAAAGACAAGTCAGTCGACTGGAAGTTATAACATTTGTTGATATAGCATACAGAACAGTGTAATTGTGTAAGTATAGTGTTGATATAGTACCATGCAAAAACAACCCTCTGTCTATAAATATACGACTCATTCTACAAGAATTATAAGTTAATGTCTTCCTGCAGTAAGTGGCCGATTTTGAGACAACCCATTTCAAAAGACGATATTGAAATTGACATGCAACCAGGAGCGGGGGGGTTCCTCATGTGTGAACGTAAACGTAATATCCTCGCATGTGCAATACCGAGCTCTTCTCCTGGCAACATTAAAAAATATTTCTAATGAAGATTTGTTGAATAATTTTATGTTTTAACTATATAACTATCGAGATACCGAGCTTAAATCGAGATGTTAAAATAACTCACTTACTCTTTGCCATCCCCAGTTATGTTTATGCATTATCTGCATTTGGTGTCTTCCCGGTCTGCATGAAGTCAATGCTCGCATACTCAGTTGGTGCATTCTTTGTTTCCGGTTGTTTTTTCTTCGACCCAGGCTTCCTCAACGCCTCAGAGTCCAGAGATGCATACAGCTGCAAAATAGGACGCTCTTGAGATAAGGGTAAAACCACAGTTAATAGAACTGATTGTCTAAGATTGTAATAAAACTGATTGTCTAAGATTGTAATAAAACTGATTATCTAAGATTGTAATATAGTGATGATATGATCTATATTGTCGGTAAGAACACACAACTCTTTGTCCTATGCTTATACTGTACTTTGTATATCGTATTAATAATGGGGTTGCATGCAGTAAAAGTGGGTTTAGAAAGGGCGCAAATTTCAAGGTCAAATCCAAATAATGGATTTAGCAGGAAGCTTCTCAATCAAGCAAGGTTTTGTAGAATCTACTTGACTGTCTACATATAGTCCAATTTTCAGACTGTTCCTGATTATATCCCCTCCCGTGCATAGTTGTTAGTGATGATGCATTCTATAGGTTGATTATTATCACACATCACTGCCTTGTCTAATCTGGCTGGACCCATTGCAAGATTACATATTATGATATGATGTCAATAAAGTTAGTAAATTGAAGTAAATACCTCCAACCTTCATTCAGGTGACAAACCTTATCATACACTGTTGCACCACAAGAGATTATCTGGTTCATTCTGTTTTTAAATCACCATTGCAAACAAGACTGTGGATAATGGCTGTGTGTATGTCTTAGTTGGGTGAATTCATATCGTTATGGTGCTACTATGAGTTAAAAACCGGGCAAACTGAAAATTAACCCCACCGTGGTCAAGCAAATTTTTCACTTTCATCACAATAAGAAAGCGGAAATGTATACCAGGATAGTTTTAAAATTCAAAAACTGCATATATAAGCAAATGAAACAGGCATTTTTGAAGGACTATAGCACAAAACCAGCTGATGCAAAACAATCTTCTTTCCGGGTCATGCATTCCGGCAAAATGTACACCCGTCACCTCTTTGTGAAATCATGTTTCTCCTCTTCACCTACCGTGTTCCCTTGTCTGTTGTCTTTATTTACCGAGGCATAAACGGGGGGGAGTGAGTCTCCAGCAGGCTTCTTCCTATCCTGCGAGCCTTCACCATTATCGGATTGTTTCACCGAATCGTAGGCGCCTGCATCCTCACCATGATCTTCGTCTAGTTCGTAGTGGTTTGTCATCACTCTTGAGCCATTCGGGTTCACGTCGGCATGTCCTCTAAAATAGCACAAAACAAGCATTTTACAACTTTTCGGATACCAAGAAACGTGAGGGTAATTGTAAGAAAAAAATTATTAAACGAGAGGCAAGTGTTGACGTAACTCTGTACTTTCATTTCGGAGCTCACTGGATTCATAGGAATGTGTAAAAAGAGCATCTTTTATCTCGATTTGACCGGAACCGGGGGCATTGGAGGCGGATGATAATGATGCCACCCCCTTTTCTGAGCGAAGGAAAAATATGCTCTCTTTTAGAAGTAAAAGTGCCCGGCTTCTGTTCCGAAATGAGGTCTCACTGTAAAGTTTTAAATTCAAAAATGACCCACCTTTTGTTGTCTCCTAAAAACAAAAGATAACAATTGTGAAAACATTGAATAAGGAAATGGGTTGTTACACAAGACTGATGTAACATAGGTTTGGCAGACGAGCTAAAAATATTACTATAGTAAAAGCACAAGCAGTATATAATGCATCTTGGTATAAAAATCGAAGACCATATTCTCATATTTGCGTTGCTAAGAAATTTAGAAATATTTCCATTGGTTTCGACTAACTTTTGAATCGAGTAAATTAGCATATCATTCAATGGCATGAACATCAAAATTCTCTTGTTTTTGGAAACCGTCCTCTTTCTGCGCCCGCAAAAAGGCGGGAGAACCGTCCTGGAAGTAAACTGCTGTTCTCACAATCTGTCATATAGCAGTCGTATATTATAAGGTGACGAATTTTATTGAATCTTTCTCACATTCGTCTAATATGGCTTGCGCTTTATTATTTCCACGAACAGTCCACGTAACACATGCGCTATTATGCCAGCTATGTTTTTCCCAAACTTCAAACTTTATTTAAAATGAAATTATAGTTAATATATGGTATATTTCAAGTGGTTAACGCGACAAACTGCATAGCAATTAATTTAGCCTTATAGCTACAGAATTTAGTTGACATAAGTATTACTCTTTCTTCTAGCCTTTCCCATTCCTCTGATTTGTATTTGGTCAATAACTCGTTCCTAACTTCGCAACTGTATTCCAGAATTGGTGGAATTGCAGTCAATAATTTTTTAAAGATGGATTTCAAGTTTTACTCTAACGAGCCACGTGCAAAGATGCAAAACATCCTTCTTCAACACATACACGAAAAAGAATTTTTAATTTTGACCAATAAATGTGGAAATAAGTCTTAACACTATAACGAGGCTACCTGGCCACGACCGGCAGCCTCGTTCTTGTGCTATCGCTTATTTCCACACTTTTTTGTCAAAATAAAAAATTTTTTTTTTTATACATATGTTGAAGAAGGATGTTTTGCATCTTAAACTTGAAATCCCTCTCAGTTAAGCTTGTTCTAACTAAATTAAAAACTCTAATGTTATGACGCAATTATCGAAAGGGTCTATTGCATAGATCGAATATAAGCATTCTATTTCAACTTGTTTCGAATATTAAATAAGGCTTAATGCCTTATGGGATTCGACTATATTTCCAATTAATGGCCCGTTATTGTTAGAGGTTAGAGTTCAACGGATCTTTTACGGCAATAAATTCAAAGTTCTCCTCAATTTTTTTGGGTTAAGGGTCATTTGGATGTTGATTCAATATTCCCTATAAGATGTTCGAAAAACGTGCTATTTTCGACACTTGTACTAGATGTAAACCTAATACCTTTATAAAGAAAAAGTTAAGATATATTAGGTAGTTTCTATTGATTGATCTGATTCACTCCATTAAACAGCTAGCCCCTGTTCTTTTCCTGTGTTTTTCAAACACCTACATGGCAACCGGTAATGGTAAATCATATCTAGTAGAAACTAGTAGTAGAAACTTCGCTACATAGTAGAAACTTCGCTCGCTAAAAGATGGTTTAACAGATAGAATTACTTACTTGCTTTGGACTTAAAGTAAAGTACCGCACAGAAAACGATAACAATGAGCGCCACCACACCAACAACCACTCCGACGATGAGACCAATGTCAGTTTTATCTTCATCATCATCATCATCATCATCATCTGGGACAACAACTAACAAGTAAAATTCCTAGAATTAAGACTAAATCATGCGAGCGTTCAAACTAAATTTATCACCCAGACAACAACCCCAGGCCACTTATAAAAGCACGAGGTTCAGATATGATTTCCAATACCACTACCACAACATTGACGGAACATGAATCAATCAAATGCGAATGGTCTACTAGATCAACCAATCACGAGCCCATAAAATTATGCAAAAGTAGCTATGTCAAATCTAAACCTCTCTAATAATACAGGTACTGCCGGCCAGAGTAAGAATGCATTATCGTTTCATTTTACCATCACCTTTTGAAGTTGTGCTTGGTACCAAAGGTTGTACTGTTGACGGCTGTATTGTAGATGATTGTGTTTGCTGTGTTGTTGACGGCGTTTTTCCTAGTTAATCATATGAGAAATGAATGTACATCTAGATTTTACTTAAATTATTGTATTTTTTCTGACTACTCAGAAATCAAGAGAAACGCTACGCTTCGGTACGATGAGGGTTAAAGCGGCCATTGAGCACGCTAAAAGTATTTACTGTGTCGGCGTATACTATAGTATCAAATATCAAACACATTTTGTTTTCCGCGTTGACAAACCTGGAAAACACCGCGAATGACAAATGTTTGCTCAGGGCCTAATCTTTAAAGAGCCACTTTAGCAAGATTTTTTTGGGCATGCAACATTTTGGAATATTTGATTTTACTACATATAGAAATAAAGAAGGATCATATCTTAATGATTTCCAATGCCATTAAAACAGTGTAGGGGAGATAAACAGTACGACCACTAAAGTAAGAAATTTTTGTCTCACGCTATCTTATTACGCATGGCATTACCCTATTCACAGCCAGTCAATTGCATTCCCCGCCAATCAGAACTTCGAGCTGGTTAACGGCAGCCAGTAAGGAAGTAAAAAGAACTGTTTAAATATACAGCATTCGTATACTGGTGGGCGTTAAGATCATATGATCCCAATAAACATACGTATAGCCTGAGAAAATGGTGCCTTACTTTTAATAGGCAAGAAATGGGTTAGTGAAAAACGTTCTCCAAGAAAATTCTCTGCAACACACGTATAATTTCCAGAGCTGTTCGTTCCTTGATTTTCTATCGTATATGTCTTCTCAGTTGAGATCACAGTTCCGTTGCGGAGTATTTTGAATGTTGGAGGAGGAAGAGCGTCAGCATAGCATGTTATGATAACTGATTTACCAACATAACTAAGTTTCAAACTTGTCCTTTCAGGTGGATCTGCGAGCGGTTGGAATTGCAAAGTCATACATATGGTTTAGTTTAAAAGTTGTTTTAAACTTCAGGTGATGTTGGCATGTTGCTCGTACAATTTGGGATTATTATAGTACTCGTGATGTTTGAAAATTTTGTCAAATTGGACTCGCCCCGGCAGCTCGTCTGATTTTTGCAAAACTTTCATACATCACTCATAGCTACTAGTAATTCCGAAGAATTACTCGCTATCGAATGATTACCATACTCACAATTGACAATTAATTCAATTTCTGTTTTATTCGTTGCCTTCTCGTGGCTTTTAGCTTCACACGTATAGTTTCCACTGTCGATATTAGTGACATTGTCGAGTTCTAATGTTGCGTTTTCTATACCAGTAGCGAAGATTTTCTTTTCTTTATACCAAGTAACATTCGCAGGGGGGTAGCCATCTTTACCCTCACATACACACGAAAAGTTTGCGCTCGTATTCACTGTGTTGACATGGGAACAGCTAATCCACAATGACGGAATAACTGAAATGTGAGAATTTGTTGAGGTAATTTGGTGTCGAGTAATCTGTCCAAAATAATTGATATTCTTCAACACGTTATGGGACGCGTGGCGCGTAGAAGCAATTTTAATGAAGCTCGATATGTGCTTATGTGCTATCTGATATTCCAGCTGTAAAAACGCCTAAACAACTTTAAATATATATGCGTGGCATCATTGCATGATTCATAGTGAAAAACGGCTCCAGAGAAATAAAGTCTTTAAAATACAAAGTAGCTATATAAATCTTTTCTTGAACATAGTGGATCCCGAATAAGTATACAGAATGAGAAAGGTGCGTTTTACAACGAACGAAATTAAATCAAACGCATGAACCACTCCGGGGTCAACCGGAATACTTAACAAGAAATATAAAGTTCATGACCCACTTGAACGTTTCCATGAAGCAATATGGCATATTTGTGGGGTCTCTAAATTCAGATCGACAATCGGTAAATGCTGATGGTAGAACAAAACAATGATTGATCACGTATACAATTTGAAACAATATAACAAATTAACAGCTTGACAACACTACGGTTTGTACAGTATAATGGCCAATTAGTCGCCCCTGTAACAAGACAAACAACATTTCCTGTTTGGTTTCGGGCCTGCAACCTTTGCTGCATGAATTAATACTCGATACTCCAAGATTACGCGATAATTTTCGCAATACAAATTTATGCAAAATTTGGAAATTTTACACGGCAATGTTTTTTACACTTTTCAGCGTTTCGTAACCAAACTTTCCAATCTTACTAGTTCCTTTTCAGCTGTACAAAAGATTTTAGCTTTTAATTTAGTTTAAAGGGGAAAGGTCCATTGAGATATATTCCTAATGAACAGCTGGGAAATTTGTTGTCGCTGTGCAAAAAATCGCTGGCACATAGCCGCATGTTTATTCGAATTCGAATTTTGAACGAAATTTACAAAGCGAAAGTTTTATGGAGATCAATGGAGATCTGAACTTTTTATGGAAACCAAAGTATGGAAGCTCCTTATTAGCTCACGGACATTGCTTCTGCTGTTAAAAATGGACTTTTTAACGGTGGATTTTGGTTAAATGTTGCCGACAAAGATTCCATGGCTTCGACGAGCGGTTGTATTTTTCAAACTGCCGTGTTTATTTGTGAATGGCATGGAAGCTCTCTTGTTTAAGCGATCTAAATTTACATATTATGTAAATTGTAATTATATAAATTGTATTATATAATTTTCAAATGGCTTGGACTGAATATGGGCGAGTGATAAGTACATTCAAATGCGGCAAAGTAGACCGGTGCATGGCTTGAACACAATATTGGCGCGCGTGAGTTTGAGCAAAGTCTCTCGCCCCAACGTTGACTTCTAAAACGAGAAAAAAGTACGTAATATGTTTCTTACAACCTTTTAGTTTCACTTCTCGTTGATATTTCCCCGAATAATTCCGCATTTTTACGGGAACATATGCCTAAGCAGCTGTGAAGTTTGTAAACCTGAGTCACGGGTATTTATTGAGCAAGCCGGATAGCTCGAAATCTCAAGGAAATCTCCAAACTTTTTGCATTAAATTTGGCATCCACGGGCCGGTTGTTCAAAAGCCGGTTAACGCTAACCCAGGGTTAAAAATGCCTAACCCAGGGTTAAATTTTAAACCTTGGTTGATTTGCGTTGTACAAAGCACGGTTAGCGTTAACCCTGGGTTAAAATTGATAAAAAAATTAACCCTGCTAGCTAGGTGGGTTAACTTTTTAATCCTGGGTTAACGTCGATTCAAAATGGATGAATAAGTAGCTGAAACACGTGAACACGTATAATTCGTCATCAATTAAACACTTTTGAAAGGTTTTACGAATAATTTCGACAGCAAAGAATTATTTAAGTTTGACTTCGTTCGGTTTCAGCTGATGTATTGATTTATTTATCTTCGCTTCAATGCAATACACGATAGAGGAATACAACCGTACAAATTGAAAGATCGTAATCGAAATATTTGTTTCGGATGCCAAAATTCGATTCTTTTGATTGGCAGGAAGTGGTAAGGCTACGTTTGTTCCTGAATTTTGAATAATCAAAGAATGCCTGAAATTTTAAAATAGATTGTTTATAATTTGCATTTTGTTTCACATCGCGACATTGTTTATCATACAAAATGGCCTTTCATTTCGAATCTTTCCAAAATTCCATGCATGGAAATTGCTGTTCAAAACAACGTCCCTTCGACCCTGTCCTCACGGCATATAATCTTTCGACGGACAGTATATCCTCGTCGGGTAGTTTTGACGCTCGTTTATTGACCAATCGAAAACGTTCTTATATCCAATTTAGTCTTTAAAATACATTTAATCTTAGGTTAGATATTTTAACCCTGGGTTAACTAACCCTACCTCTAACCCTGCTTTGAACAACACAGTTTTAACCCAGGTTTAGCTAACCTAGGGTTAAGGATTTTAACCCAGGTTTAGCACTAACCCAGGGTTAAATTTAACCTGCTTTTGAACAACCGGCCCCACATTGTTTGTTGTTTGAGACGAACAGCATTTTGTTGATGTGAAAATTGCCCTTACCAATGAAATCGTGGATTGTACTTGATATATTGAGTATTTGTGTGCTTTTACCGGTTGACGTGTTCAGCTAAAAAATCATGAAACTATTTGAAGAACAGCGAACATCTTTGCTATATTCCTTGGCACCAATTTAATAATTGTTGTACAAAAAAGTCAGCCCCGTTACGTTCCATCAGCAAGAAATATTCTAAAAGTATGTCCTTGAATTTTTCCGTCCCATTCTGTATTTACGCGTGGTCCCTACTCGACCAGATTAAAAGAAAATTAGCCGAAATCTCCAAAATTCTAATTGTACTTTTGAAATCCCTGGAGGTGTAGAAGGAAAAATTTCACAATCGTCTTTAATTATAAATTGCCCCCATAAGTGTAATTTCGCATATAATCTTTGTGTCTGTACATCGTCGTCAAGCGAAGACCAAAGCAACTCTCTAAAAATGTGCTTTGCGGAAGGCTACTTTTTGCAGCATTTAATTTTTTTGGCAGCATTTGCCACAACACACTGCACAAAATTTATCCCTTTTTATTCCTTTTTATTTTTGATGGCATTAAAAACAAGCAAAATACCGAAAGAAAGTTTGGCTACCATGTTTTTGTTTATATATTTAAAGGTCCCGCTGCATGTAGTGCGTGAAATATATTCGTGGGGTACACGCAAGCCGAATTAGCGCATGCGCAACAAACTTCCCAGCTGTTTTGCCAATGGACATAACATACATAATTCCTATATATTTAACTTACCAGCAATAATAACTCTAACTTCAAATACATAACTGCCAGTGACTGAATGGAGAATATTAAACCGGTAAATTCCATCATAACTTTGATCAACGTTTATTAAAACCAATTTATCCAGTCCTTGTATTTTAACGTCTAAGCCTGAGCTAAAATATTGAAGACCAGCCCCTTTTGCTCCACTTGATGCAATTAATCTCGTTTTATTTCCAATGAAAGTCCAAGAACGACTAACTAGGTTATCTGGATCACGAACGGACCAGGCTATTGTCGCATTTGATCCAAGTAAAAAAGTTAATTTATCTCCACCAGGTGGAGAAATAATTTGTCCTAAAA